TTCTTCCAGTCAGAGAATGTTGCATATAATTAAAATTTTGCTTGATGCATAAAGTTAAAAGATTAAAACTAATAAAACAAGTTTTAAAAAGAGACTTTTCCATTTGATTACATTTTGTATGATGGATTATGTAGAAAAAGTAGAATTGGGCTGAAAGATCTATTTATCACCTATTCATGTTGTAAATCGTGTTTTTTAAAAAGTAACTAAGTTATTAGCTACTTTTGAAAATAAGTAATCAGTAAAGTAACGGGATTACTTTTGGGGGGAAGTAATCAGTAATTAGTTGCTGATTACTTTTTTCAAGCAACTTGACCAACACTGGTTATCAATGCCACTGAAGGAAGCACAGCTGCAGTTACAGCAGAGCAAAGAGCACCACAGTCACAGTAATTTGCATGCACTCGGTGGTTGATGCTGAAAATGCAAAAATATGTTTTTATGCTTGCTTCTAATCTGCTGCTGAGTCTTTTTTTTTTTCTACTGAGCACACATTAAAAAACTGATCAGTCTATTTGTAAGACAGTGTCAGACCTCATGTATCAAGTTTCAGAGCGCTAATGTGCAGCTGTCATGGCAGCACCAAGCAGTAAAATAATGATTTTCTGCAGCGTCGCCTTCTCACTGCGTTGCCTTTTTCTGTTATTTATATACATACATACATACATATGTGTGTATATGACATAGACAGAGTTGATAACTACCATTGTGTAATTTGTTATCTGACTGGGTTTTTTGTTTTGTCAAGCCAGCTATTGCAAAGAAAGCCCAGCTGTGCTGAACTTGCTTTGTAGTACGCCCCACCGAACAGCAGATGAGTGAGGCTGTTGTGCTCACAGTTAGACTGCGTTCCTGAGATGACCATATTAAGTTGGGGTGGCTGTAGCTCAGGTGGCAGAGCAGGTCAGCCACTAATTAGAAAGTCGGTGGTTCGATCCCAGGCTGCCTCCTGGCTGCATGCCAAATATCCTTGGGTAAGATGCTAACCCCATGTTTGCCTACTGGTGGTGGTCAGAGGGCCCGGTGGCGCCAGTGTCCGGCAGCCTAGCCTCTGTCAGTGCGCCCCAGGGCAGCTGTGGCTACAATGTAGCTTGCCATCACCAGTGCGTGAATGTGTGTGTGAATGGGTGAATGACTGAATGTAGTGTGAAGCGCTTTGGGGTCCTTAGGGACTAGAAAAAGCGCTATAGAAATGCAGGCCATTTACCAATACCAATACCAATATATCCACCGATATTAACTCTCACTGACATCAGTCAGAGCCAAGATTAGAAAAAATCTCTGGGAGGATCTTACATCTTTACACGGATTGCTTAGTACATCAGTAATACATCAGTATTTCACACTTTTCTATGTTTAGCATTAGCATCTAGCACTGTAACTGTTTATGACTGAGAATAGAGAAAAGCATAGAAGATTATCAAAGTAGATATGCAGCATCTCTAGTCTCAGACATTCACCGGTTTCAATTTCATTTCAGTCTTGGAAGAAAAGTATTGCAGACGTTTAAAACCTGCGAGTTATCAGAGGTATAAAGTCTTAATTAAAGGCTTCGCTGTGCTTTAAATGAAATACTTGTTAGTTTACTTTCTGTCATTTGTCATGACTACAAATGCAGTTTGTATGAACAGAGGAAAGGCTGCATGAAAAGTATACATGCAGCCAACCTGCTATTTTTACTGCTTAGAACGCTCAAAATATCAAGGTAACATGATTCATCGATTTTTGAGTTTTCCCACCTCGTGACTGTTGTTACTTTTCTTGTTCACTTAATTACAATTTTCCTGTGAAGTTAATAATCAAATTGTTTGACTTTACACCAGACATCCTTCCTCATGCAACGCTCCAATTTGAGACTGCACTAGCAGTGAGAGTACACTAGCTGGTGATCCCCGTTCATGAGGTTGGGGTTGTGTTTTGCTAACATTCACCTCACAAGCGAAAGGTCACTGGTTCACGCGCTAGCATGCAACCCCTGTTGGTTATGAGCCTGGATAAATGGGAGGGTTGTGTCTGGTTTAAAAATCTGTGCTAAGCCAAATATGCACACCAATCTTCTGAGAGCAACTCTTTCATTGACCTGCAGCTAACAATCACCTCATTTTTGTAAAACCTGAATATCAAGGGTCACAGCTGCCAAAGTGAAACTCAGAGAAAGAAAGCTGTTAGGGCAAAAAAACCACAGTTACCCAGGCAGTACTGATGTTCTAGTATATAGCCAGGGTTTCATTTTCCACAGAATTATATTGCAGCTCTAACTTGTAGATGATGTATGTAAAAAATATCTTTGACAAATTCTACTATAATCTAGCTTTAATGTTCACAGCAGATACATTTAAGACTGTATAGAAAATAATGCCAAACACTGAATGTCTGGAACTGCATTGCAGTTAAAAATTAAGCCTTTACATCCAACAATTTATCATTTTTTTTGTAACATCTTATCCAACTTAGGATCACAGGGGGATGCTGGACTCTATCCCAGGTACACAGGGTGAAAGGTGGGATATTCCTTAGACAAGTCTCCAGTTCTCACATCTAGAACCATTGCCAAGTTAGAACCATCAATTAACCTAACAAGCATGCATTCAGACTGGGAAGAAACCCAGAGGAGACCGACATAGGCTGTAGCTCCACACCAAAAGGACCCAACTAAGCAGGAGCTTCAAACTCAGAAACTAAAAACTGCACCGCCGTGCTGCCCCACTGCATTTGAAATGATTCAGGAAGATGTAAAACAGGCCTTTCACTTGTGGAAAAGAACTCACTGAATCTAAGAGATTTCAGAGTAGAAAATCACCTCCATATATCCTGTTAGCACTGAGGTGGAGAGGCAAATAGACAGTTTCATTCTTTCTTTCATTTCCCTCTCCATTCCCTTTCATTTCTTAGTAAAACAGCTTTGAAACTAACACATACACAAACCGAGTCCCAAAATGCCTTTTGTGGCTCTCCCGTCTCTCTTAAACCAAGCTCTGTTTCCTACTTTACCTTTTGCTGCACTTGTTTTAAAACAGGCAAAATGTACAAAACTGCGAACAAGCTAAAACGTCTCAAAAACATGACACAGCAGCTGTTGTGTTATATCAAACAAAATGGAACAAGCAGCAGTAGAAAAACTGGCATTGCATTTTTCTGTGCAGACTAAAAGAAATCTGTGCTCCCTACTGACAGACTTTAAAGAAGGAAACCACCGTTGATAGTGTGGCAAAGAAAGCTGTTTAGGGCTTCTGGAGTGCAGCCCAAAACCTATAATTTTAAGTGGGAACGTGTGCGGTTATTGATCGGGGAATAAACGTGTTGAAGAGTGTCTGAGCTGTCGGCAGGCCATGAAGAGTGATGGTAGCGTTGGGATGAGAGTTTCCTGAGAGTCTACAGCCATTAATTTCAAACTACCTTCTGTGTACTCCCATAATTCCCATAAATATAGCCTTTAATCATATCACTATATATATCTATAGGCTCTTTATAGTTATGGTTACTGACAGTATCCAGCAGTAGAAATGAGTGAGCAGAAAAGTCACAGTATGACAATAGAGAGGAAGAAATAATAATAAATAAAGACAGGATGTGACTTCATTTTCTGTAACGATAATGCCAAATAATTCTGTACATTACAGCATTTTATTTTTTATTTAAAAATAAAATTAATATTTAAAAAGTATAAAGTGACATTTGCTCTGACACATTTAGGTGTTTGGTGCAAAACCTACAATTACTTTGTAAGGTGATGAGCTAAATACTAACAACACAATGCTACCCCTGCCTGGTAATTACAGAATGCTGATGCATGTGCGACCACCCTTTGTCCCTTCCTTTCATAATAAAAGCCCTTATCATATACCGCGTATGGGTATCATATACCCATACGCGGTATATGATAAGGGCACTATTGTTTGGTCACTAGGCAACAAGATAACATCATGAGATATCATGCATAATTGAAGTTTTGTTGATACAAATGAAATGTCATTCATACTATAAAACTGCATAAATTATAATATATATATATTTTATCATTTTATTGTGCATAAAAACTACTAATGGGTCAATTTAAGTGATGGTACGTGGTTGCTAGGCATCATATGGTATCACAATATGGGATGTCAAGTTTGTTTTTTCAGCTCCTGCTTGTGTACGATGAGTTCATGGCCACACACAGAGAGATTAAATAAAATATAGTAAGATACATGTTTAAAATGCTATTGTAAAGAATGGAAACTAAATGAAGCTACTAAAATAGATTAAAGATTATGAAATATAGTATGAAGTAAAAAGCGGAATACATTTTTATGTTGACCAAATACATTTGGAAGGATAGAAAAGTTCCTGTGAATCTTGTCACATGAAAGTGAATGTTTTTTTTTTAATTATTTATTAATTTCTTTAGAATAAAAGTGACATTTTTCAAATATCATCTTTTAATTGATTTATTTTTTCTTGGCACTTTGACAAAGTGCTTTTTTGACTCCATTATTTTTAAGAGAAGGCAGACATCTCTGTATCCATTATCTCTGAAATTGTGATTCAAGCCAAAACTCTCTAGATGGGGGTTAAAAACGTGCACATTTAATTTTACATGTAATATTAATTCAGTTATGAAGAATAGGTGTATGTAAATGTGTTTGCATTATTTTTATCCCATCACTCTAAAATGTATTACAGCTAAATTCATGCCAATAATTAGGAAGCTATTCGAACCCATAAAAGTAGGTCTTAAGTTGTCTGAAGCGCTTGTGTTGAAGGCACCTGTACTTCTTTTTAGATTCTTCAAGAAGACCTCTTATCTGAAAGGTGCTCTTATCTTCAGTTCTAAAAGCTCCTGGAGAGTCCCAGGTGTTTAAAAACTTTAGCACTTCTTCTTGTTTGGGTCCCTTTTTGACCATTTAAACTGATTGGAATCCAGAGGCTGAAGGTGAAGGTTGTGATCCCATAGGTTTTGGAACAAATGTGAATGTGTCTCTTGCGAGCAACCTTGATAATGTGCTTGTCTATTGCAGGTCTGGACGACTGCTTGCAACAGTATGTGTGTGTCTTTGAGCGCGGAGGTGTTTGTGGGGAGCGGCTGCTGAGGATTAGCCACGCCGAACTTGAGGAGCTGGGAGTCTCTCGCATCGGACACCAGGAGCTCATTCTGGAGGCTGTCGACTTGCTCTGTGCCCTGGTGAGTTTGTGTGTTCTGCTTTGTGCTTCACTGTAGTGCTGAGCTCTCATTAGCAGTCTCTACAGCTGCAGCTTTAATGTATGCCACTGCCAGTAATGTGTTAGTGTCCTCCGTTAAACCCTGGCATTTCCTAATTGTCCCTATCTCAAAGTAAAAACAAATAGCCTCGTTTTGAACATTCGGAGTTCCAAATTAATGCAATGAATACTTTTTTGGCTTGAGAAACATGAATTTATGTTTATTAGAAAAATTGATTCAGGGTTAGCAACCTCCTTTTTTAAGGAATATCTGGCAGAACATCAACATCAGCTGTACAAAGCAAGCAACACTGAAACTAAGGTGGCAATATATGAATCATAAAAAATGAGTTACAAATAAGTCATTCAAATGAGGACAGCAAAAATAAAGTCAACTTAAGATGATTAGCATTGTTTTTAGATATAAGATTATAAGGAAGATGAAACCTGAAACACAATAAAACCGGTTTAGGAAGAGTATATCTTAAAAAGAAGAAAAATAATTTCCTCAAATACCAAAATAGTAAATTGGGCAAACTGTTAGTTTAGCCAGACCATTAAGTTATCCATGTCATCTCAGCGCCAACCCACTGATACCCTTCTACACACCCAATTGATGGGTGTGGCTATTTTAGCTGCTTTAGTTTTCAGCCCGCCCTCCACTCCAGCTCCTCCTTTTCTCACTGTATCTGACTGAATCTGTGCTGAATGTGTTGTCATTAATCTCTGCTCTGTGCTATGTGAGGTTCTTCCTGCTGCGCTCCCTGCTTCTGACTTCCCATGTATGCACATTAAAGGGTAGATCCATACTGTGAAACCGAATTTAACGCAGCGCAAAACAACAGTCTTTTTGTAGCACTCTTGACTGAACTGAACTTGTCACTCTTCTCTGTGCAGTGCTTTTGTCTTCACTGCGTTGTGTGCTGTTTGCTCGACATCTCTGACATCTCCAGTCAATAAATCTGAATTAAAGTTCCTACAAGCAGATTTTAACATGAGGGCAGAGCAGATGATGATGAAAATGGCTTCCAGCAGCCTGGTCACATATTCATTCAGACAATTATTCCAAAAAAGAAAAGAAATCTCAGGAAAACTAGATAAATGTCACGATGATCATCATCATCACCCACTCAGACTGTGTTCTCTGAATAATTCCAACAACCATTTTAGTCATTGTGAGTCATTCATATCCATCATTTTAGTCGCCTCCATCGTGGAAGACAATAAAAGACAAAATGGAGCTTATTTTTTTACAATAAAATTGACCAATATGCAGCAGAATCTTAATAAAAGCTGGCAAACCTGCTGACAAATAATTTGTATTCATGAAGGTTCGCTGTTTGTGTTTATATCTTTGTTTACATCTAGAACTCAGGGCTGGAGACAGAGAGCGTCAGGACTCTGGCTCACAAGCTCGGCGCCTCAGCCAAGAACCTGCAGAACTTCATTTCCGGACGGCGTCGGAGCAGCCAATCAGAGAGCAGGAGCTCGCGGCGCCTCCCCAATGATCTGCTGACCTCTGTGGTCGACCTCATCACCGCTGCCAAGAGCCTGCTGGCCTGGCTGGACAGGTGAATATACTCTCTAAATTTGTCTTTGCGCACAGACGCGGTGTGTTTATCCAAAGGAGAGATGATGCAGGTTGGTGCTTTAGTTGTACAAACAGATTTTATGATTTACCCTTTGTGGTGTGCCATAGGGTATATGCTCGAAATCTGAGGATTTCCATGCTTGCAGACTGTTTGTGTTATTCAATGATTCACTTGTATGACAGCAGATCTAGTCATGCGAGAGATAAAAATGTGAACTACGTCAAACTTCAGATTTTAGCCAAGCCATGCAGCTCTTTGAAACCTAAATCAAATCAATATTTGTCTTTGCAACAAGACCAATTCTCCTCGGTACACTTGGCAGGTGATGTTTTTCCGAGACTCTTCTGTGAGTTTAGGCTGTCTCAGTGTCTTCTGTCTGATCCTCACCATCATGGAGCCTGATCCCAGACTCTGTGATGTTGAGATCCGGGCCAGACCACCTGTTGCAAGACTGAAGTTATCAGACACCACCCCGATGCTACTGTCTTGGTTTGGATTTGTTTATTAGCACAAAAATAGATAGAAAACTTGTTCTGAGTACGATCTTCTGTCATAATAAAGGCTGTTCAAATTAGGATTGTTCAATATGTCCATGATGAAAAAATTAACAGTGTTTATGTAGGGCGATTAACACCACATGCTGCAGGCACTTATACTGTGCAATGCTTTTAATTAGGGCCCTCCATGAACATAACTCAATAAATTTGTCTATTACATTTATTAAAACGGGACCCAGAGAGCTCAGAAGGCTTTGCAGTGATATTTTGATGAGATGACATACTGTATTGACTTAAGTTAAGAAAGTCAATAAGCCTTCAGTGGTCAGTCACTAGATATTTTGGGTTTGCTCCGCTTTTGTTCTACATTATTTGATCAAATTACTTTGAAACAAATGTCAAAATAACAACATTAAATATGGAATTTTTTTTACAGTGTAGGCAGAATTGGGTGCTCTGACTGGGGTCTCAGAAGATTTCTGCAGATGCATTTGTATTAAAACATAATAAAACACTGATTAAAATACAAGAGAACGCAATGATTCAAAATAGCTGGGAACAAAGTGATTTACAGAGTGATGAAAACTTGGAAAAATACATGAAATGTAATATAATTAAATCACATATGATTAAAAAAGTACCTCTGGGGTCTGTAGGTAGGGTTAATATAAATAAATGAACAAAACAATAATAGCAATTTATGAGTGTTCATAAATTATTTAAACATTTTTTATGTCAGTTTCACATTACAGTGGACCAGTTATGCATATAACCCTCAGGCTAGAAAGGTATACTGGGAATGACTTTCCCACCATTACTTCTGTGTCTCAAAAGACCGAATATCACGTGAGTTAATTTAAATTTTATTTTGTAATTTAACTCACAAATTTAAACTTAAATATTAACTCATCCATGACATGCAATGTGAAATATTTGCACTGTTTGTACGATGCTGTATGAAAGGAATCTTGTATCTCAGACTATTCAAATATTTCTCATCATGTTTGAGTGAATATAAATACTGTGTATCTAGGTCTGGGCAATAAAACAATAAAGATCATTATTGTGAAACAGCTTTTACTTGACAGAAATATAAGATGGGTTAAATGTAAAGTCGAAAGAACTTGTCCATCCATGTCCATCCATCCAGAGTTATAACCATGTCAGATTATGTTGACATAGAGCGTAGGAGGAGCAGCCTGCAGCAGCACATGTGCTAATGTTTGCTCTATTGAAGCCATACACACAAGTACGTTAGGAATGAATGACTGACTGACAAAATTGTCAAGGTCTGCAGGAAGAGCAGACTGAGTCCGATGTGGAGGACCCAAATGCAGATGTCTGGAGACAGAATAATCTTAACAAAAGGCGAGTGGTTCTTTGGCTGATAATCCACAAACAAAAGACTAAGCATTAAATACAAAAATGAAGTGAAAACTTTAAATTACATTAACTAAACTTGGAAAAATACAACGAGATACAAGGAAGTGGGAAACACTGGGAACGTGCTGACAAAGGACAAAGGGAGGCTGACACAACAGGAGGGTGATTGAGACAGTTGGGAAACACAGCTGGACCAAATTAGCCATAATGAGACAGGGGAAGCAAAAGTGAACATAAAGCATGTGGGATGAGAGACTATCAAAATAAAACAGGAAGCACAAACATATTGAGACTAAGACACACAAGATTGACACGGAAAAAAGGTAAACAAACATGGGGACATGGCAGACTTAACATGGAGCATACTAACATAAAAAAATACAGAGATGTGACTAAGGACAGTAGGGCAACACTAAGGGAACTATTAAACCTATCTAAACTAAACTAGATATTCATAATACATTGGAAAAACAATATGGGAATGAGAATAACTAATGAGCAAATATATAAATAGAATCTTGGAACATAAAAAAATTTCTCAAAGCCTAAAACAATGAAGATGTAACAAAATTCCAAACTAAACACAAAAACACCAGGTCCAAGACCCAGAACCATGACAACAAAAAATGTTCATGAAAACCTGCTGTCAAACAAGAAATACCAAGTGACACAGCCCAAGGCTCAAAAGATGAGGACATTGTTTGAAAAGAAGGATCAGAGCCTCTTTAAAGGCCTTCAAAGAAGCAAAGTAGCACACACTGCAAATGGTGTTGCAAACATGTTACCATAAAGACGGGTAGCAGCGTGGCTCATTTTTACCATCTTAAGCAGTGCCATTTGCACAGTGCAACACTTTACAGTCCAAGGCAGTTTGTCCAGCACCATCCCTTGTGACAAAAAGTGAAGAGACACTGATAACACAAATGCAACGGTACTTTGTTGTAAAAGACACGATGCCAGTAAGCACAATCGAACATGTCGAATTTTAGCAGCTGATTAAAGTAATTGACCCCAGTTGCAAAACTCCATGACCATAAAAGGTCATTGCCGAAAAGGCTGGCTGTTCACAGAGTGCCTATCAAAGCATGGTAATGGAAAGTTGACCGGAAGAGAAAAGCGTGGTAAGAAACAAATGTGTAATCAATAGGGATAGCTGCACCCTCAAGAGGACTGTCGAGAAAAGTGGATTCAAGAACTTTAGTCAGAGCATCAAGAGTTACCACGAGCACACGTCTTCAGGAAAAAAAAGCTACAGCTTTCACATTCTTAATTTCAAGCCAGTCTTGAACCAGAGAAAATAGTAGAAGCATCGTGGCATATGGAGAAAAAGAACTGGAGTGCTGCTTAGTGGTCCAAAGTCCTTTTTTTAAAATGAAAATAAGCTTTGCTTCTCATTGGGAAATCAATGTCCTAGGGTTGCATGGAAGAGTCAAGAAACTCAGAATCCGAATTTTTTTAAGCAAAGTGTGATCTTTCAGATGTCTCCGATCTGGTGTCCCATGTCATGTGCTGGTCTTGGTGGTGGTTGGTCCAAAGTCAATGCAGCCATTTGCTTTCAACCTTAATGAAGATGCTGATTTTATTTTCTAGCATGACTTAGCACCCTACCACATTGCCAAATCTACTACAGAATGGTTTTCTGACCATGTTATCATGTGCATGATTTGCTAGCCAAGTCATCTGTCTTGGACCTCACACAGAATCCATGGGTACTGTCAGGAGGAAGATGTGAAAGACTCCACTCAAATTAGCTTAAAGGCCACTTTCGAAGCAACATGGACTTTGAGCACACCTGTCAAAAGCTGACCCACTACATGCCAAACTAAACTGATACAGAAATTCATGAAAACCTAACCAAGTGCTGAGTGTGTAAATGATCATGCTTTTCATTTCAGTATTAAAAATCCTTTTTTATCCCTCAGTCATAAGGTTGATTGAGGTATTGTTGTCATCCTGCTGGGTAGGCAGGCAAGCAATATGGAAACCCAAGTTTGTGAATGAGATAACTGAAGAAGAACGCCACCTAGGAGTTTTTAATTGATACCATAGGTCTATCTACTAAACATCTCGGGCCAGTTTGAATCTCAGTAACCTTGACCTCAAGGTTAGAGGTCAGAGGTCAAGTTTTCTGAAAATCTTCTGCATGCAATAACAAGAACAAGGCAATGTGGGAATTTGAAATTCATACCTTTGGTATACCTATGGTATGGTGTGAAGGATGATGGGATACCATTGGCTGCCAGCAGTATTTTTAATAATAATTTTTAATAATTTCGCATACTGGAGTTCAGATTTTCATGTGCTGTGAACCATGAGCATCCAAATTAAAAGTGATGATATTATAATATACTGAGATCTACTTGTGTAATCATAATCTGAAAGACAAAGAAGTGCATTTCAGTTTCTGTAATATGTGATGTAACCTTAACTGAAAACTTAACTTGGTGTCCATTTGTCCTTATTTTGGGACCTTATGTACAAATCCAAAAAATCAGTTAATCTAAAAGAAATGTTTAGGAAAAAACTAAAATAGTGACTGTAGTAACAAATCCTCTCTCACTTCTCTGTTTTGTACAAGGAAAGCACCAATCTGCAAAACACAAGCTCCCTCCTGCAGATGTTGGTTGTTGACATCGTTTTTGTGAAATATGTTTTTGGGGTTTTTTTGTAAAGGGATAATCTCAGACATTTTTCGCTCTCACCATGCTTCTCTCCTCACTCTCTTCTGTTGTCTGTCACTTCATTTATTCATGACTCGACACGATCTTCTGCGCACAGCACACACATAAGCTACACAACTAAAGGTCTTTGACATCGGTTCTTGAAATGCCAGGCACCCACACCTGTCCTCAAGCCAGCTAGGCCACAAAACAAACATTAATGCATAGAGCCTCAGACTCATAGAAACGCCCACGGCCTCGTAAAAACACACACTCGCAGACACACACCCACCTCGGCACGCACTGACACGCACTTATGCAAGTGCACACGCGGTCGCCCACGCAAAGTGATGCAATTGAAAATGGCAAAGCGACATTGAGATAAGGGTAGACTCAGCAGAGCTTTCTGTTCTTCAGTTGTGAGATACTGTGCAACAAC